GTAAAATCTGATATATATTTCCAGTAAAATATGATGCAACTTCCGAATGAAAAAGAATAGAAAGTATTTACTCGTCTTGAAGGAGCGTGGATATAATTTGAATTTCTTCGATTAAGAACTGTCATTACCATTCTTGTCTTAGAACTCTGAAGGCATTCTCCCATTCCATTATCTAAGTAGCATCGATCGGAAATAAAGCATTAGATTCCGACGAGATTTGAACCCTTGGGAAAGGTGATGCGAATTAAAATCGCGGAAAAGTGTTTTTTTTTTTTTTAATCTCTTATCCAGGCTGCTTACTTACCGCTTTTAAAATACGAGAAAAAAAAATGCTTTCTGAGTGGTGATAAAAAACAACAAAATAATATGATCGCCCACGTCCTGAAGGGACACGATACAAAGAAGAAGTAGATTACAAAACGTAGAAGTTGTAGTAATAGTATAAGAATAAGAAAAAAAAAGTAGGATTAGCAGTAGTAATACTAGATGAAAAGAAAAAGTAGTAGTAGCAGTAGCAGAAGAAGAAAAATAGTAGTTGTAGTAGTAGCAGAATAAGAAAAAGCAGAAGTAGTAGTAATAGTAGTAGAAGTAGAAGAAAAAGGAGAAGTAGTAGTAGAAAAAGAAGGAAAAGTAGTAGTAGAAAAGGAAAAAGAAAAAGAAGTAGAAGTAGTACTATTAAAAGAAAATGAAGTCGTAGTAGCAGAAAATGAAGAATCAAATGTAGTAGTTGTAGTAGTAGTAGAAGTAGTAGTAGTAATAGTAGTAGAAAAAGAAGAAAAAATATACATATTAGTAGTAGTAGCAGCAGCAGAAGAAAATGTAGTAGTAGCAGTAGTAATAATAGAAAAAGAAAAAGTAGAAGTAGTAGTAAAAGAAAAAGAAGATAAAATAGAAGTAGTCAGTTATGAGTCATGCGTGATGCACGCTTAGGGGATCATGTATCTTTCGACGCATGACTGACGATGCAGATTTTTTTCCTGTAGAAGGTTGCCATTCTTTCTGCGGTAGAGCACTTGCCATCCGAGGCTATAGAACCCGGTCTGTCTTGCTATTTACCCATAGAACCTGAAGTAGTAGTAGTAGTAGTGCATAAAGAAGAAAATGTAGTAGTAAAAGAAGAAGAAGAAAAATGGAAGTAGTAGTAGTAATACTAGGGAAAATGTAGAAGTAGCAGTAGTAGTAGTAGTAGAAGAAGAAAATGTAGTAGTAGCAGAAAATAAAAAAGTAGTAGTTGTAGTAGTAGTAGTAGCAGAAGGAAAAGCAGTAGCATAAGAAGAAAAAAGTAGAAGTAGCAGTAGTAAGAGTAGAAGAAAAAGTAGTATTAATAAAAGACGAAAAAAGTAGTAGTAGTATAAGAAGAAGAAACAGTAGAAGAGGCAGTAGTAGAAGCAGAAGAAAAAGAAGAAGAAGAAGAAGAAGAAGCTTCTCAATTTTTTCATTGCAATTCTAAAATGTGGATAATTGTAATGGCGTGAGCACCCCCCCACAAGGACGTGGGTGATCATGGCTCTCCAAAATTTCCTTTATTTTTTTTTTACTCCCAGTGGAACCATTAACATACCTCTTCTTCCTTTCTCTGGAATTCATTCACACATTCTCTTTAAGGAGGTTACTCGCCACTTCCGCCTGCTTCTCTTGTCGCCAATATCGCCGTTTGAGTGTTAAATTTTTTTGGCCATCTTTCCTCACTTTCTCGTTTATCACATATCTGTGATATGTTCATATCCGTCGGTAAAAACAACACCGGTATCGCTTAAAGTATCTTCTTCGTCTGTGAAGAAATTAACTACCATTCTCTGTCCTATACGAGATTAGATATTACATAGCAGTTCAGACGGAAGCCTGAAAAGAAATGCAAAATTAAATTACATTTTCTTTTTCCCGTCGACGAGAAACTCAATTTCTTGATATGAGTTTGGGTTAAATTTTTTTACAGTAATTTAATCTTGGAGAATCTAAACAATTTAAAACTTTCTCCTGAACGGTCAGTTCTGTACTTTACAATTTTTCTCGTTTTGTTTCAATTCGCTCAAGTTGTCTGAAAATTGTGACTTTGCCAAAGAAGAATAGGCTAATACTTTCAAAAGATTGATGCCAGAATAAAATATCATGATGTGTTAATATTTGTCAGTCTCCAACAAACTAAAATTTCGGTAATTGATATGTTATGTTTATTCCGTTTGTTTCTGTTTTCGTTTTTGTAGTGGTTTCTTTTGTGACCAAGTAATGATTAAGAAATAACAAAAGAGGTTGCAGATAAACAGTGTATTGAACAGTAAATACAACAGAAGAGTTTTACACGACTTGGGAGTGTGTGTCGGTTGACCAGCGTTCTCTCTATATCACTCTTAATATTTAGTACCACCCACGAGGGTACATGTGGCACAAGGCAGAGTTTAACGTGTGTCATCCGAGCTCGTAGGCTCGGCCAAAAAAATCCCCGTAGAACCCACATAAACGGGTTTGGGTCTGTCTACCTCCCCGGACGAGACTCCGCCCTTCGGCTCAGCCTCGTCCCGGTTCCCTCTGCCCAAGGTAGAGAGTTCGATGGGAGCTGCCAACAGTCACAGCCTCGGTAGAACAGTCTATATCACTGTAATATTCAGCCACCCACTCACGAGGGTCGGTCGCATGTGGCACAACGCCGGGTTTAATGTGGGATCTGCGAGCCCGTAGGCTCGGCCAAAAATATTCTCTTGGAACACGTATAAACGGGTTCAGGGTCAGTTACCTCCCCGGACGAGACTCTACCCTTCGGCTCAGCCTCGTCCCGGTTCCGCTCTGCCCAAGGCAGAGAGTTCGATAGGAGCTGCCAACAGTCACAGCCTCGGTAGAACAGTCTATATCACTGTTCCCTCGAGGCTTACGTTCCTACTACTTTATAGTAAGTGGATGAGTCCACAATAGCCTCATTAGAGGGAGCACACCACAGCAGTTTCTGACGAAGAAGCTCCAAAAAGAGAAAGGAAATGCAACGAATTCGGTGTTTTAAGCTTATGGGCTTTAAAGTGATGATTGGAGACAGGGAAAGCAACCTAGAGGCACTCTTCTAAAAGGTAATCAAGGAAAGCGAGAAGAATGGACTAACGGTCAATTGTAAGAAGACAGAATGAATGGTTGTCAGCAAAGGATGCGAACTAAGAACAGAAGGCACCAAAATCCAGGAAATACAAAACTTTAAATATCTGGGAAGAGTTTTAACGCAGGACGGAAAATGCGATACTGAAATCCGAAGGTGCATTGGAATAAGGAAAGAAGAAGTTAAGAAAAATATTAAGAAACAGGAAAACATCGTTTGAAACAAAGAAAAGAATACGAGACTGTTATGTAATATCAGATCACTTATCTCGCAGTGGATGTTGGACAGTCGCCTCACAGATGAAGAAGATTGTACTACAGAAGGAAGATGAGAATACCACAGATTGTAAATCTGAGCAAAGGCAGAAGTTTAGAAAAAAATGGACACAAAAAGGACAATTATAATTTAGAATAAGCAAGAGACAACTGAAAAATTTTCACCGGACATGTTGAAGGCAAACGGGAGTGGGAAAAGCAGAGAATAACCGCCATAATGAGCTAGTGTAAATGGTTGGCAGAACAGGGATTAGACGAGATAGCTGAAAGATAAACACTGTGAAGTGCTACAAAGAAAAGGAAGTAGTAGAGATCCATGACCGTCCACGTCCTGAAGGAACACGGCACATAGAAGAAAATTATGGATGTCAGATTCTGAGCCGGTATGGATTGTATGCTTGTGTCATATTCTGCATGCTAACAGGATCTGTATACATGTTAATGGTCGATAGTTTGCTGTTTCTTTCAATAATAAATTTAGCTTCAGTTTAAAGAGTTAAATAATTAGTTAGAACGTGGTCGATGCTACTCATTGCTGCAAATCATAAAATCAGTTAACGTTTATATAGAAAGGAGAACGATCAGAAAAAAAGACCAAGGAGAAGAAAAGGAATACTACTACTACTACTACTACTAATAATAATAATAATAGCGGCTACGTAGTGTAGGATTAACATCTGAAACAGAAGGTTTTATTTTTGCTGCCCAGGACAAATAATTGCTAACTAGAAATTACCAAGCACACATATTGAGTGATTGTGTTGATCCCAAATGCCACTGACCATCTTGTATCAGGTTGGACGGTGTTAGCCCTCATTGGATATAAGACTCAGCATGATAGACTGGGACAATATCTGCCCTCGAAACTATGCAACTGTTAAAAGAAGAAGCTGGTATGACCATTTTATGGAACGTTACAATACACAGAGACAGAAAAATCAAAGCTAATCCCCCAGACATCAAAGATCAAAGACCACAAGAACAGAATGTGCTTTCTTATTGACATGGCAGTCTCTGCAGATTGTAATGTCTCTTTGAAGATCTTAAAAAAAATTTCAAAATACAAGAATCTTGAAATGGAAATCTCAAAATTGTGGCACATGAGGACATCAATAATTCCAGTTATAGCTGGATCCATCTGATTGATTGGAAAAGGGACGATAGACTCATTGAAGGGATTCCTGGTAGCCCATGCCTTTAAAAAATACAAAACAATTGTACGCATGCGTGTAAAATGGGTTTTATTTAAAAAAATGGTCAATGTCATGAAGCCATTTCTGACCTTAAAGTCACTGATTGAGAACCGGAAGGAAATGCGTATACAACAGAAATCAAGTAACAACAACAACAACAACAACAATAATAATAATGTTAATAATAATAATAATAATAATAATAATAATGTTAATAATAATAATAATAATAATAATAATCATGAATTAAAATAATTGATATTGATTGCCCATTGGAATTGTTGCTGAAACAAAGCCTGTTCGGAACAGCAAGAATAATCCAAAAAGTGATGAACCCTTAGAGCCAGAGGGAAATTGCATGGCACTTAGGAATTAACATTCTAGCCAGTAATAACATGTATTAATAACTGCATATTAAGGTCTTGTCCGAGTAACTACTACGGCTACTAGGACTTACGGTCATATGACGTTGAAACACCGGTTCTCGTAAGATCGCCGAAGTTAAGCATCATCAAGCCTGGTTATTACCTAGATGGGTGACCGTTTGGGAATAACAGGTGCTATAATGTGGAGGTGGTGTAGCTCGGAGATTGGAAGTAACAGAGTCCTAATTCTAGTCGGATTATATTCACTTACACGTGAATACTCTATGAAAGTACTTCGTCTCTCCCCAGCTGTAAGGTAATTCATAGTTCTTCTGTCAGTAAACCAATATCATAAAAAAAAATACAATCTAAAAAAAAATTCTGGTTTTAAATCACCTGCAAAAGGTTCACTATTTACATAATTCGGACTCTTGCCCTCATCTTTGTCGCTATATCTATTACAACGTTTCGGCCGTTGTACGCTCCGGTCTTCTTCAGTTGGTTTTGGAATGTCGAACTGAATCCTTTATTTCGCTCACTGGGATAGTCTGTTCTAGTTCCAAGTTCTAGTTTTTTTAATGGATGTCAGTTAGCTCCTGTTAATTCCACTCTCTAAGTTCGACATTCCAACCAGCTGAAGAAGGCCGGAGAGTATGACGGCCGAAACGTTGTAATAAATATGGCGAAAAACATGAGGACAATAGTCCGAATAATGTAAATAGTGTATATAATACCTAATCTCAGAAATATAAACAAATACTGCAAAAGGTTGATAAAACGTATAAAAAATCTAACTACTACTTCTGCTATTACTAACACTACAAATAATTGCTGTAACGTAAGGACGGTTACTGAATAGAATAATTGAACGAAGGTTGGTAATGAACGATAATACTTAGAACAAGAACAACTCATATAAGATTCGCCAGCAACGCATAGAATAAGTGGTCAACTTCTAGAGGCGAGTCAAGTGAATTCTACAATAAATCTCCAACTGCAGGATATCTATCAACCGCCCCACGCGGTCAGATGTGGCACAAGGCCGAGTTTAATGTGAGGTGAATATATATATATATATATATATATATATATATATATATATATATATATCCTACATATACTGATAAAGATTTGATATTTAGGTCCTGATTTTTTGTTAAACAATTATTATATTTATTTATTTTAAGCAGGCGGTACTATCAAAGAAAATGGATTAGTGCAGAACTCTTCGAAGAAGCACAAACTGCGCCGAGATTAGAAAAACAGCTTTTCTGAACGAGACTTCAGTGCGAGAGGTAGAGTGGAAAACGAAAAGCGTCTAAGCCCTGAAGCGAGGCGAAGTTGTTAGAAGCCGAACGCGTACAATTCTCTGGGTCTTAAGAAGCCCAGATTAGAACGACGCGCGACATCGTAATCTTCTGCCAAAGCGTGGGTGGTGTTCGAGGGGAGGAGAATGAAAGTGTGAAAGAAGAAGAAGAAGAAGAAGAAGAAGAAGAAGAAGAAGAAGAAGAAGAAGAAAATAAGAAAAAGTTCATAGAATCGAAGCTCATCCGGTTTGCAAGATTGTATCAGAAGGCTGAGTGCGAGAATGGGAGAATTGTTATTGTCGATGAACAGGGCGGCGGCGGACAGGGCGGCGGCGGACAGGGCGTGAAAAATCGAAAGATATACGACAAAAAAAATCAGATCTGTATTAGTAGAGTCATTGCAGAAATATAAGAGTCACGCCTAAAATCAACTTGCCTTTAACTATTTGGTTGATGGATAAGTTTATGTCTTCCTCTTGTTTGACGGCGCTAGAGAAATCTTAGAAGTGTCTCATAAAATGTATAAATTAAGAATGAAATGAAATAAATCAAATGTACATTTGGGGACCTTTCTCCCCAAAAAGAATATATATATATATATATATATATATATATATATATATATATATATATATATATATATATATATATTCTCTGTGTGTGTGTGAGTGAGTGTATGTGTGTCTTTGTAAATGGTTGTACTGAAAAGTTCTCGGGCCGATGAAGTAGAGGCATGAAACGCTGATACTCTCCACCTATTCGCTTAACTTGTCCATGCACTTAATACATTATTTCACTTGTCTCTTTAGCATTTCCACCACACCTATAAAGAAGAAAGTGTCATCCTGTCTCTAATATTACCGCTATGATAATGCTGTCAAAAACTACAGCGACGATGATTTTCCTGCTGAATTTCATACGTTGATTTTCTTCTTCTGTTGAGAAACTAAATTCCAACATTTTATGGATATTTGCTCAGACTCCAAATCCTGTTGGAATAACTGTGTTTCTTTAATAGTATTAAGCAGTCCCAAAGATATCATCATATCACTGAAGATGACGAAAAATTAAAAAAATAAAATAAAAACAAAACCAGCTCTATCCATTCTTGTCGGTATTCAAGAATTTTCACAGTCACTTAACCGATATATACTGCCGACCCAACTGCTGATGGAATTATACAGCCTAATGTATTCCTTGGTTATCGCTAGTGTCTTAAAAATATATATATCTAATTAATCGAAATCACTTTAGATATTAATCAATTAGAAAACACGTGTTTCATCATTAAAAGAGATGTATATGAGATTGGAAAACAGTTTTATGCGACGAAGATCTCTTTGAAGAAATACAAAAGAGAGAAGGAAAGAGAGAGTGAGTAAAGAGGAACATTGCTTAGTGCTATAAACGATGGGAAGGGTAATTATTATTCACGATCTGAAGTGATATGAAACATAAAAGAATAAGATATATGAGAATGTGTTAAATATGTTTCATCTTTCGATCTATTTCGAAATAAATATCGTTCTTTGTTTCTCTGCGCAATAAAACCTGACAGACTCCACCGCCTAAATAATTTGATATCAATAATTTTAGTATGGGCAGATATCATAAACTGGAAACATCACGAAATAAATATAGCTTGAAAGGTTTAATTCTCATGGGTATAACATTGAATTGCGTAACAAAATCCGATATAGTAAATATAATAGGTTTATCAAATTTATTCTTCAAAAAAATAAACTTCATTTACGTTTTATTCAGTTATATGCTCGCCATCAATAGCAATGATTCCTTGCCACTTCTCCGGCAGCTCTTCCATACGTTTTGAGTAACTTACGACAGGTTTTGACACGAAAAATATTTACGACCATCACTTGAATCAGGTTTCGTTAGAGAAATACTTCCCGATAAAGGCGTTTTGCACTGGTCTAAAAAGCTAATAATCGGTTTGTGCAAAGTCAGGTGAATATTGCTGGTGGGACAGAACAAGCTAAACTAGTTCGAAAGTTTTTTTTCTGTATGAGCCTTGCTTTGTCATGGAGGAGAAACAAAAAATTCCCCTTAACCTGCTGTGTACGCTGCAATTCAAAAGCTAAGGTATTTTACTTTATTCCTAATTCATTCATAGCTAGAACGTATGATTAGTAATTAGGATGATACCTTCATCATTAGAATTGTCTCCCCACAAAACGGAAGTTAGTTATGACACGACCCAGTACATATATGCAGACTTATTACGCACGAACATACATACGTACAAACATACAAATCACATTTACAATGCCAAACATTCATTGGTTAATAAATCACTACTACATTTCTACAGGCAATTTACAAATCGCAGTAATGCAACAATGTTGTAATCGCTCTATTTTTAAGTAGTCAATTTTGTGCACTTTCGGGAGAAGAAGTTCACAGAAGCTTTCTTAAGTTTCCCCAAAGCTCGCTCGCTGATTGGTCGATGCCAACCAATCAGATCGTTTCCACGTGAAGAATACTTTTTCCCGCGTAACGATTTGGAGCCTATAGTCGTTTATTTAAGCCAAGATTTTTCGCATCTCAATTAGTGAGAACTCAGATGCCAAACGAATCCACGACAGTTGAAACCATGCGCCAACCTTCTCACTCACACACACACAAACCCACTTGCTGGACATACCTTGTACACACTCACAAAAAATACTCTTACACAACAATATCTTTCAAGAACAATCATTAAAAGAAAGTCTCATGAACATTTTTCCAGTGAACTTTAAACCAAATAACTATCTCTCACTGATCTCTCGAATAACAGTTAAAGAGAGGCAACTCTTGGTTAATTCAACCTTTCTTACTTAAATTCATATTTTCTTTCATATCGTTGCTTGATATTGTACATCTTGTTAAATACATATTTTATGTGTAACAATGTCTTTGGCTTATCCTTGTTGCGTGAGCCTTGTTTCCTTATCAAAAATTAAATTAATGTGGTGACGTCCGCGTCTCATATATAATTGGTAAAAGGGCACTTCGTCGTGGTGTAATGGTTAGCCAACTTGTCTCGGTAGATGAAAATTATTTTGTTTTTGGTAAAATTCCGGTAGCATCCGAGACAAAAAAATATAATGCGAATCGAAATGTTTTTTTTTTTTAAATGTGTTATTGATAACGGATACAAACTTTTGGAGCGTGCAGTCGCAACGCTAAGGTTGTAGGAGTTTATCAGTTCATGTGGCATGAACAAAATAGTTCAATAAATATCTATAGATATAAATTATATACACCCCCACCCACACGCACATATATGTATGTCTGATTGAATAAATTACAAACATTATGTCTGCTTATTTCTATCATAATTCTTTCATATTTACGAATATTTCCCGTATATTACAATCATATGAGGCATGAAATGCATTGTCACTTTTTTATGATTACAACGCACTACTTGCCTTATTCAATTGTAATTGTAATATAAGGAAACATGATAAAAATAAGCAGATATTTATTCAATCAGACATGTTCAAAGGGGATTTGCTGCCTAAATACACACACACACACACACACACACACACACACACACACACACACACACACACACACACACACACATATATATATATATATATATATATATATATATATAGTTGGATTGATGTGAGTTTGTGATCCTGGGTTTCACGCTATTTTCGATCGTCAGACAAACTGATTAATTTCTAAATTTTGGATTTATATATGGTTGCGGTACATCGTTGTTTTTATGGCAGTGGGAGGAAAAATTGTCCTCGAAACATCACTCGTACGTACGCAGACATATATACACGCACGTTCACACAAACATAAACATATATGAACAGTGTAGGACTGGGCGTATATGAGCATCCATGTGCCGTTGCGTGCATACGTATG